TTCCAGAGCTTTCCAAACAGTTCTGAGTGAAAACATGTTAGATAATATATTACCAAGCAGAATCCATGACTTGCACAGGAAAAAAAAAATCTGAATTTCAATTTGAAATCAAGCATATTGTCATTGAAACTAGCATGGATTTATCATTTAAAATCTGTTTGATGTAATATTCTCTCAGCTGTTTTGGCAACTCAAAACAATATTCAAAATAGAAATCCTTCATAAAAAGTTTAGAATGTGAAATATCAAGAAACAACCAACCATGACTTCAATGGTAGAAAGGGAATTGGAATCACAGCCAGACCACTGTGGGAGAGCAGTTTCCAAACCTCAGGAGGGGGAGTGGCAGGGTACTTGTGAAAAGTCCAGGGTCCAATTTGTGATATTACTCATAAGATGTCTTGATAATATTATGGAGAGTAAGATACTATATGAGGAGTAGTGGAGAAGAGTGCTTATGCGTGTTGACCTATGTTGTTGATGGCTCTTGTGAGACCACAAAATTGGATAAAAGTGTAAAAACAGCCAGTGACAACCATGCATATCTAGACAATGTTGACTTTTCTCCATGGGAGAATAGAAGAAAAACTGTTTTTTTATAATCTAGTGAATCCTAGAAAAACTGCATGCATGAATTCCATTCTGATTGAAAAGAATTGTTTTCAAATAAATATACATAGACTTTTACCACAATAGCAGGTAACCCATGATCCACTGGGTCATCATTTCAAAGATATTCCCCTACTAAACAGAGAAACAGAATGACCATTAGAGGCCATAAAATCAGTGGGAGTGGGAGCAACTTCCAGCTTCCTGCCGGCTTCCCCATTGATTTTGCTTGTGGGAAGCTGGCAAGGGAGGGTTGGAAATCCCCTTCCTCCCTCCCTCCCTATAAAACAGGGATAATAAGTAAGAATTCGTAATAATAAGTAAAATAAATAAGGATAAGTAAGGATAAACAATACATGTAATTATTTAGTAAGTAAGGATGGAAGTGTTAAGAGATACCAAATGATGAAACAATGATTCTCTTCAAAATAAAATCTGTGGGTGGAATTATGCCATTTATTTTAATATTTTAAAATAAATCTCATTTTGTGGAAGTCATACTGAGGACTTATTAAATAAACCTGTCTGAGGAAGCCACTGTTCTGCTTACACTATGCTGCCTAAATAAATTGAGATGTGGTAGTCTCTGTGCGTGGCTGTTTTCTTGCAGACATTTCACCACCCAACTAGGTAATATCATCAGTGTTAGATTGTGCTAATTGGGATATTAATTCTATGAATATCTGCATTTCTACACTGGACTACAAGTCTACACAAGTTTGCTAACCAACAACTATAAGAGTTTCTGGACTTTCAATACAGAACGATTGGTAGTCACAAGGCTCCAATAAAATCAGGTTTCCATCAGACTAATATTTCTTCCTACATCATTCAGCTCATCATATTTTGTACTAGGAGTTTAAAAACATACTGTACATATCAAATTTTGAAAAATCTTTGGAAGCTGCCTAAAACCAAATCAAAAGCAAACAAGCCCCCCCCCCAAAAAAAACTCCAACAGTTTTCTTTAGCAAGAAGTATTGAGATGGATTTCCAACAATTGAACAATTTAGAACCAATATCTACCCAAGTATATCAAGTTGGAAACATTCTGTTTTTCTTTCTATAGCCTCTCTGTGAAGCCGCAAGGAGATGGGACTCTTGAGTGATAACAAAAGTTTGCAATTGCCTCAGCCACCTGACTCTTCAGAAGTCTGGGAACTGGAATTAGATTAACATCAAAAAAATCCATGCAATAAAATCTCACAGCCAAGCATTTGTTATCTTACTCTGGTGATAAACATAACTATATTTTAGAAGTACCTGTAATGACTTCATTAGAGAAGTTTTAAATACAGTCAAGTGAGGAAATAAAAATGCCAGTTGGGTTGTTCTACCTGCTTATTTACATTAAATGCAAACTTAAATTAAATGCTTCAAGCTGCTAACTACAGCTACTCCACTAAACAAAGTAGATGTATTCTGAAACAAACCACTTTGCAAGTTCAAAGTTCAAGATTTCAATATTACAATAACCTTACAATGCCAATACCAGTTGTAAGGAAATAGTAAGTTGTAGTCAACAAGGAGTGAATGAAATGTACTATACTCATAGGAATGCGCCAAAGTATTTGCCTTCTTAACATAATGGGAACTGGATGCTCTCAAGTTTTCCTACTGATTTACTTAACAATTAGTAAAATTATATAACGGTAGACAGTATTAATACTCAAGATCGCCAGCATGCTTCTTACGAGGATCAGGCTAGAGCAGGAGTGTCAAACTCAAGGCCCATGAGCTGAATCCTGCCCGCAGGGTGCTGAGATCTGGCCCATGGGGCCAACCTGGAAACAGCAAAGGACTGGCCCGCATTCCCTATGCCAGCGAAAACGCAGCTCGGGAAGGCCAAATGCGGCCCTCCCAGGCTCCGTTTTCATTGGCAGACAGCTGCAGGAAGCCGTCGTGACCTAAAACAGGGCTCAGGAGTCCATTTTCACTGGCAGAGTTCTTGGGCCACCACAGGCACCCCAGACACAAGTGACAGCAAGTTGGCTATGCCCACCCTGGCCACACCCACCCTGTCCCCGAGGTCAAACACAACCCTGATGCGGCCCTCAACGAAATCGAGCTTGACACCCCTGGGCTAGAGTATGTCTGAACAGCATAAATATAAACTTTAATATTTAACTATGAGATGCTAACAGAAGAGTTAACGTAAGTATCTGCTATCTCAGTACAAGCTGCAGAAGGAGACATGAAGGATTGCATTCAGCCTTTAGTAAAGTAATACAAATTGACCACCCATTGTGCAATTACTCCCAAGACAATAGAAATCAAGTGTTCTCTGAAAGATTTACACAGCTGACATGGGAAAACTGCACAAGGAGAACAGAGACTTTATTCAAATAGCTAAACTTAATGGCTATCTTTTCAGGGGATATTTTTGCTTGCAAAAACATTATTTGAAAATGGCAAACATTCAGCTGCAAGCAAAGATGCTGTTCACATGTAGAAAGACATGTTCATCTCATGAGCCTCTGCAGGCAGAGCAGGGGAGGGGTGTCAAATTTTAAAAGTCACTCTTTTGTACAGGTGTCATAATGTTGCACAACCTTAAGTGAATGGTGGAGCTTGTATTATGATGTGACAATATGCTTTTATCACTCTGACAAAACCTCTATAGCAGGAGTGTCAATCTGAAGGCCCAGGAGCCAGAGCCAGCCCATGGGGTGCTTAGATCTGGCCTGCAGGTCCACCCTGGAGACAATAAAGGACCGGCCTGCAGTGCCTCTGCCAGCAAAAATGGGCTGGTGAGCTCTGTTTTCGGCTGTGATGGCAATAGCAGTTAGAGTTATA